AAGAGGTACTGGGACCAGCAGTTAGCGTAATGGCTATGTCGCTGGACTCCCACGTAGTTGACCGCAGTTCACATCCCAGACCCGGTGGCTTAAAACTCACGCCGGGCGCGTGTGTGTGCATGCCCAAGATCCCGAGAGGAGAATGGAAGAGAAGGGACTGCGGCGTGGCCATCCCCCCTGGGGGGTGATTTCTCGCTTTCTGTCTCTCTGTCTCTGGCTGTCTGGCGAGTGCACACGCCCTATAGCAAAAAATTAAAAAAAAGGCTCTAAAAAAAGAGAAAAGAAATGAAGAAGAGGTTCGTAGGTGCACAGTGGGATGTCTCCCTCCTGCTGCCATGTTGGTTCTTTCACTCTCAGGCCCATAAATAATAATATTCTATACACGCCACTCTGCCTCTTGTCTTTTTCTTTTCCCCCTTTATTTTTTGTGGTTTTATTTATTCGCAGTTGAAGTTTTTATGTAAGGGAATGACATCATCCAAATTTCACCTTTAAAGGCTCACTCGGGCTATTACGGGGAGTCCTGCTCTCGTCCATTCTGTTGTTTGATACCTGACTGGCTGAGTAGAGGTGGTTTATACAGCAGACATTTGTTTAGCTCACAATTTTGTGGTCCAAGGTCAAGGAACCACATCTGGTGTCTTCTTGGTGGTGTGCAAGGCGCTCCATGGCAAGAGCTCAAGCAGTGCCTGTGTCTATGCCTCCTTCTAAACCCACCAGCAGGGCCAGCCGGGGTGTGCTGGCTACGGCGGCTACGGCGCTGGGTCCCACATGGTCGACTGTGTGGCCCAAGTTCTGGACCCAGTGGCTTGAAAAGCCCACCAGGTGCATGTGCACGTGTGTGTGCCGCAAATCCCAAGAGAATGGAGAAGAGAGTGCCATGTGGTCGTCCCCCTGGGGAGTGCTTTCTCACTTCTCTCTCTCTCTCTCTCTGTCTCTCTCCAGTGAGCACATGCACCCTATAGCAAATTAAAAAAAAAAAAAAGACAAACTCACAAATACGCAATTATGGAGGCCCCACCCTGATTCTAATCACCCAGAGGGCCCGCCTTTCAGCATCAAAGTCGGATTTAATTTTTACCCTCTTAATTCCATCACAACCCAATTACTGGGTGATTGGAAACATCATGACACATCTTTGCATAGAAAAACAGAAAAAAATGTATCATGACTTTTCCAACAACCCAATATATTTCTGCTAGTGACATTCTCCCCTGAGAAACAAGTTTCTCTCTGTCAGTGCCAAGCACATTGTGAAATGGCAGAGCGATGTGAAAGAACTGCTTTCTTCTAGAACTTCATCAATGGAAAAATAACGATTCTGGCTTATCTCATGGGTTATACCAGGCTCTGCCCTGAGATGCAGTTGTCAAAGAACCAATGGAAAGAGAATTTCCTGGGCATTTGCATTTCCCCCAGCATCCCAGTGACCAGGCTGGTCAGTGCGGGATGAGCAGGGAGACTGGGAGACACATCTTGGAGAAAGAGGATCATGTGGGAAATGCATGTGGGAACATAGCTTTGGAGGACCTGAGGAGGAGAGAGGTCAGAGTCCAAAGTTCACACAAGGTTTCCATGTGGACATCAGTGCACCGTTTTATGAGCAACTCAGAAAAGGTGTCGGTGTGGGGGCCTGAGGTAAAAGGGGCATGGCGACTCTGTTTTAGGGGTGTTACCGGATTTAGATGGCATGGCATGCTTTCAATAGGTCTGATCCATAGATGCGAAAGGTCTTAAGGGTCATCACATTTCTCATGTGAGGAGTGACACTGGACTGACTCAGTGAGGGAGCCTAGAGGCAAGGGACTCCTTCGGCCAGCGAGGGAATGCATCCGAAAAGCAGGTAGAGGTCAGTGCTAGGGTCCCATTGCGCCACCTGCTGGTCCCGCTATCTTATCTTAATATATTTTTAAACTATCCTTTGCCAGAGGCTTTCATAGGAAAGATGTTGGTGTAGCTTAACCCGAGTGAGACGTCTGCATTGGCCCGTGTCTCCTGCAGTTTGGTTCTCTAGTGTCCACACTCAGTCCTGGGATTTGAACCATGGAAAAGCTTGAGAGTAGCCTCCAGTTGGTGGGTGCCAGTGTGGTTCATTAAGACTGCAAATTCTATTTCCTAGGAATTTCGAAGGTTATAAAGCTTTGTAGAGGACAAAAGTATTACGATAAAACCCATCTCTGTCAGCCAGAAACATGCATAATAGTTATAGATCATTGATGTTCGGACCTGAAAGGTAAAGTAACTATTGTCTTTTTTGTGTGTTGGGGGGAGATTTTTGGTATAGGGCGCGTGCACTCACCAGAAAGACAGAGACAGAGAGACAGAGAGCTAGAAATCACCCCCCAGGGGGGATGGCCATGTCACAATCTCTTCTCCATTCTCCTCTCGGGATCTTGGGCACATACACACATGCGCCCGGCGTGAGTTTAAGCCACCAGGTCCGGGACTCGAACTGGATAGTCAACTACATGGGAGTCCAGTGACACATCCATTATGCCAACTGTTGGTCCCATAACTATTGTCTTTCTGTTGTAGCTAGTAAATTTGTTTAGTCAGGCTCCCAAGTCTTGCCTATATTTCTAATGCCACCTTAGGTCATTGGAATTGAAAAGTGTTCTGTAAACATCATTTATTGCCGTAAGTCCTTGCTCTTTCACTCAAGAGATTGGGAAAATTAAAAAGAAAAAATAAAAATTTGCCAGCCAGTCCCCTCTGGGTGTTACTAGCTCACCCCAAGTCCCAAGGCAATCTGTCTCAGCAGGGGACTGCTCAGTGTCTGTAATTCTCAGCTATTGATTTTATTCTTGGCTGGAGGTTGTACCACAGATAAATCCCGAGGTCTATTGGTCTTACAAGAGGGGGAGCCACAGTAATTCAGTTTCACAGTGGTGCCCAGTGTCAGTGGGGAAAAATATCAAAGTTTTGTTGGATTTACTCTAGGCTATGGATCTTTTTCTCCTTCTAAAATCATTGTGTTAGTTAAAATGAGCCTTTGTACAAAAGAAAATAACCTATTACAGCTTGGGATTAGAGACCTCTACAGGGAATAAGCTCAGATTTATGGAAGCAGGAGTTAATAACAGTGACTAGAGACGGGGCTTCTAACCTAGTTCCTTGCTGTGTTCCATTTATAATTTTATTTTTTCTTCCGCCGCTACCATTTCCTCCTCTTTCTCTGCAACTGTTCATGTTCAGTCTACTGTTTTTTTTGTTTTTTGTTTTTTTTTTTGGAGAGGTTTTTCGCTATAGGGCACGTGCTTGCAAGCCAGACAGAGAGACAGAGAGACAGAAAGCGAGATATCACCCCCCAGGGGGGATGGCCACACCGCAATCCCTTCTCCTTCATTCTCCTCTTGGGATCTTGGGCACGCACGCACACGTGCCAGGCGTGAGTTTCTGAGCCACCGGGTCCGGGACGCGAACCGCGGTCGACTAAGTGGGAGTCCAGCGACATAGCCATTACGCTAACTGCTGGTTCCCCAGTCTACTGTTTTTATCTTCTCTTTATGCACTTAAGCTATGGCCTCTTCATTCTCTTCCCCACCTCCCCTCCCCAACCTCAAGGACAGTCATTTCTGCTCCTTCCTGTCGTCACACAATAGAGGGTCCATTTCCCATTCGCTCCAACCATGTGGCTGCACTGGTTACCCATTCCAGCTGGAGCTGCTCCTTTCCAGCCACCAGCCCTCCCCCAGCTGTAACTATCTCCGATGAAGAAAACCCCACCATTTGCAGTCCTTCTCTTCCTATGCATGAGGGGTGGGGGCAGGAAGGAGGGAGGAAGGAAAAGGAGGAAAGGGCAGAGGGAGGGAGAGGCAGAGACAGAGAGAGATGGAAAGAGACTGAACAGCGTATGTTCATGGCCTAGGATTTTGAGAGAGGAAAAAGCGGAGTAGTCCCCAACTCTTGGGGATGCCAGTACACATGGCACATGACTCAGATCTTTCACAAATGCTGTGAGGACCTCAGTGGGCCTCCTGTGTGGGACAGCAATTGCTGGCATGTGGCTTAACATTCCACGTGAACGTGAGGAAGTCTGGAGGCCGAGAATCCTCTATCTGCCTCCCCTGCAGCTGGGCCTCAGCAGAGTGGTGCAGCTCCCCTCCTTTCTCCGTGGGCAGAGGTTAAGCCCTATTAAGCCAACAGGCAACCTCAGCAAAAGAAGGTGCCCTTGTCCCTGACTGTCCCCTGCACAGAAATGAGGTGGTCATTGGCTTGAGCAGGTGTCTTCCTTGGGAAAGACACTGTCTTGGTGGCAGAGTAAGAGAGAGTTAAGTTTGGAGGAGTGAATGAATTACAAAATAAGACTAATGCAGAGACCCTAAAATGCAGATATACTGTGCAAATATCAAGAGTTGGCTACGGCTCTAACTTGCTCTAAGAGCAAGAATTGTCATCATGTCTGAAAGAGACAATGACCATAGCTTATCTAAAAAAGATGTTTGCAGACCTTCAGATAACCACACTGATCTTCAGCCAGAAGTAGCAGAACTGGTGGGGAAATGAGAATCTGCAATTCCTCCACCCTCCCACAAGTGAATTGCAAGTCCAGGAAGTGAGTGATTATTTAAATCGGAGAAAAGTTCGTTTTTCTAAACATCAGCTCCATTCAAATCCTACAGCTGCTTTGCAAACAAGGCTCCTGCTTTTATGGCATTTTTTAAAAAATGGATTTAATGGACTGAGTTCATTTAGACAGGGGAGATCAAATGAGTGAGTGGAATTAGAATACACATCCATTTGGCTGCCAGTCATTGTTTAAGCCACTCGACCACCCAACTTCTCTAATTAAATGACATCGCAGTCCCTGTAGAAAGGCTGAGATGGATAAATTAGTATTTGGTAAGTGCTTTGAAGATGAAAATCACGATATGAGTAATGAGCGAGGGTTTTTTTCCTTTGGGCTGGAAACAGCATCTTTTGTGTTTTCCCTGCACCGTGAGTCACCTAGGTTGACATTGCAGAAAACCTCCTCTCCCAAAGGACGAGTGAGAGACACAGTAGTGACAGGCTTTTATTTGACTTACAAGGCAAATGAGGAACGAGCTGCATCCATTCACATCTACACGAGGGATTATACACCGTGCACATTCGCTACCTATAGACACAGGTCATATTTTACATGAATTTATATATTAAGGAATTGCATGAAAATGATCTCGTTTAAACATTCATGAAAAGCAAACATCCCCCAAGAGCACTGAAGATAGAAATGTACCTCGGTCCCTCTTGAGAGTTTAGCTCACCTCTGTCTTGTTGCATTTAAAAATCTGCATCAAATGCCGCCCCAACCCTTGGGATGTGGAGGTTTATCTGCTTTGAGGATGTGAGGATTCTTTTTTTAGAAGGAGGAGCTTAGAAAAACCACAGGTTTGGAAGTTAAGTGTTTAGTAGGACCCAGGCCTGTCTGCCTGGAGCAAATGAAGCCCTTTCCTCACGGGCCCCTCTGGCTCTCCTGCAAAGCAGCAGAGAACTGAATTTGTTCTAAGGTCCAAACTGGTGGAAGCTCTCTCCTTACTACATCCAAACATTCTCATGTTGTTCTTCTCCTGGACTGCTTTGCTACAGAGATCATTAGTCACGCTAGATTGGCTGGGTTGCGTTGTTACTGATAGTCTGGCAGGCCCCACCAGAAAGGTGGCATCACCCCAGTGTAAGGGAGGATGCAGGCTGCTGGCTGCCACCCTCCTCCTTGCGCCTCAGTGTGGAACGGGGCACAGTTTTCAGTCCTGGCAGCACCTCACGCTCAGCTTCATCCCAAATGGGTCACAGCTGAGAACGTGGCGTTCGCAGTACGGCTCCCAGGGTTATCTCTTACTGAGATAGCAGGGGGCATGCGGAACAGGGTGGGGAGGGAGTCTGGACGCCTCAGGGAAAAGAGACAGCCACTGCTGGGTAAGGGCCTGGAAAACAGTGGCTACGAAAACCAGCAGGGAGCAGCGAAAACTCTCCCCTCTGAGAGATTCAGATACCGGCGAAGTCCAAGAAACTTGGGGAGTGACTGGAAAATCATAATGCTCACCTCCCTCCTGCCTACCCATATCCACCGACACGGCAGAAGGAATTATAGCTACTGTAGACACACTGTGGCATTAGGTAAAGGGTTGGAACTATGCTGCTTAACAACGCTGCCCGATATGGGCCTCGCAGGGCCAGAGAGCTGGTCTGGCCAGCAGGAAACAGCACTGGGGCATGGCTATGTTGTCTGTAGAAGTTTCTCACATTGGCGGCCATTTTCTTTCCCAAGGGAATGCAATCTAGCCACAAAAAGGAGAACAACGACAACAACAAAAATAGTTCATACTAATTTGGTTCCTGCTGCAGGTTTTGCATGCCATTCAAAGCCTACATATTTTATTTGAGGATTTTTTTATAGTTTGCCTCCTTGGAGCCAAAAGCAGGGTCAGCACTGTAGATTAGAATCAATTCAGTGGAAGGAAAATAAACCTTCGGAATATAGTTCGCCTTCCCTGAGCACGTCGCAGGCATTAGCAGTAATGGGAGCCCTGTCTGCGCATGGAGGGGACGCATCTACCACTTAGACTCCCAGCCAGCCTCGCCCGTGGCTGTGCAGTCCCGTGACCTTCACAGTGGGTGTGATGGCGCTGGATTCATCATCTCCTAACTTTATGCTGCCGTGCACATGCACACACACACACACACACACACACTGTTCTTGTGGAAGAAAGAGACAAAGGAGGGAGCTGGGGGGAGGCTGAAACGTGGTGACACTGATGCGGGCGATGGAGATTTCAGGCCGTCCATGTGAATCAACTTAATTTGCCCTGTGTGGTGACTGTGTCATTGTCACTAGGCTACAGTTGTCCAGTTTGCTAGTCTTCTCCAAATTCAGGGAGTACTAGGAAGGCAAAGGGGGAGGTTCAAGATCCTCTTTTAGGTTCTTTGTGGTTCTCAGTGTCACTTTTGAAAAACAGTACCAAACACCGAGGCATTAGGAAACACGGACGCCAACCCATTAAAAGAATGCTGGATTTGCTATCCCGAGTGGCTCACATGCTGCTTCCATGCACACGTGTGCTCTGATACATTTTGCTTCTTAATTTTAAGACAGGAATACATGAGGTGCTAGAGGAGAAATAATAAAGCATACCCTCCTCTCCTCTCACGCGTATAGATTACCGAGGAATGACACTTTCCCCATCTGGTGTGTCTACCTTTGCTGCTGTTTTCTCATCAGTAGAAATTCTGGCTAACAATACAGACTTTGAGTCAAGATTATCTTGGATACCCATTTGTACTTTTTATCTGTCCTTCTGGGAGGCCTCTCTGGACCGGAAGGCAGGGGTTGGCCCGGTCCTGGCCCAGCTCAGTCACTATCTACTGCCGTGATCCTAGACAAGTCACCTTTGCAAGCCTCACTCCTCGCTTCTGTAGCGCAGAAGGGACCGCCAAGGTCTTTCCTTGTTCTGCGTCTGCAGAACTCCATCAGCGCGGTCTGCAGCGGGAGGTGCACTGAAGCTAATCCTAAATCTAGAAAGTCGTTTTAAAGGGAAAGTAACCTTGCAGTGTAAATGGTTGGCTGTCGTTCTGTGGAGTAGATGCTCTAAGACCCGAATGCCAACCATCTAAGCCCCTACCAGTCAGAGGGAGCTGGCCGGGGTGCTGAACTCAGCCGCTATTCACAGGCTGTCAGACCTCGCTGGCTGCGCAGCCGCTGCGAAACCAGCGCGTACCCCCAGCGGGTCCGCAGTAGTACCTTCAGGACAAAGGCAGCCGAGAAAGTTCTCAGCCCGCGCCAGACTGTGGCATCAGGCATGTAAACAGCTAGAGGAATTTCAGAGTACACTGCATTCGATAGTTCCCAGACCTGGTAGGGTTATATTTAGCCAAGGCAAGTTTGGAAATAGCTTGGAGGGAGTGCAGTGGCATTCAAAGGAATATTAATAGTACGGGGTCTTGGAGCAAAGAAACGATTTATTCAGTTCAGCGTGTGGTATGTATCTGCAAGGGGAAAACTTGCTCAGTGCTAAAAGGCTTGAGGTGCAGGGGGTTGGTGATGAGCCTTCTGAAATCGGGAATCTCCTGGTCCCCTTGGGACGAGAACTCTACTCACAGCTTAAACACCAAATCAAGCTTCCCGGGTGCCTACATAAGCCCTTCTTCCCCACAGTCCCTCCACTTGATACTTTATTTCAAAGATCATATCAACCGGCCTCTATTTTGGTTGCTGGGTAATTTTTTAAAATGATTTTTAAAATCTTCCAATTTAAACAAAATCCAGACACCTGCACCAGAGCCCATATCAACCACCAGTTATCATCTGTCCTCTCCCTGCAAAACAAAAACAAAAACAAAACAAAACAAAAACCAAGAAAGCAGAAAGTGATGCCTACTGGAGAGCTGGTCTCTGTTCCGGGAAGCACGGCTGCCCCTCCCTCCCGCACATGGTGGCAGTCAAGGAGGCAATCTGCAGATCCCTTCCTTTAGCCCCAGGTTCAGCTTCCCTATTAACGCACACTTCACTGAAGCTCAAGGATAAGAAACGTTCTGCCTGGTGTGTTTTATGTCCCATTATCTTCTCTGCACATCGCATGCCTCTCTGAGGGGCAGGGGAGAATGCTTCTGATGTAAGGCTTTGGGGAGGGTCTCCTACCATTTAAAAAGGAAGAGGAGGGGGAGTTCAACTTGTGAAAGAACCCATCAGAAGGCTCTCCCTCTGCCCTCCCAGGAGGTCCAGATTCCCAGGAGTTCTCTCCTGCTCTGGAAACTTCTCTGCATGCATGCAAGTGTTGGGGTCTCTGCGGTGCATCTGCTTTCTTCTCATAGCTGGGGGCAGGATTGATAGGCTTTCCCCAGCCAGCTTTTCTGTGGCTCGTTATTTATGGGATGAGGCTGAAGGCCGTGTAAACAGAAATTAGCTCAAAGTGTAGGTGAGTCAAACCAATTACGACCCCACTCCCCCACACAGTATCACAACAGTGATTTAGTTCTTGTTTCCATCAGGTGGGAGGAATCAGAATTGCACATTAGAACACACAGACCATTCACAGTAGTGGAAAAAAATGAATAAGTACATACAGGCTCCCAAGTGGGGGGTTGCAAAAGCAAAGAGAACTGACTTTCATGGTAACTCTGGGACTGTCGGTTTCCTGGGAGAGTCTCTTTTTGGTCACATCCACTAAAGTTAGCGAGTGTACCCAACTCCCACTCAAGACACAGAATCTGATCACATTTAGGAGGTATTTCCATGGAGAGGTGGAGGCAAGGAGCTCTGGCCTTTAGGTTCCTGCCAGGGGCAGGTCATCTACACCCACAACGTGGATTTTCCTAAAGTGCCCTTTGACGAACCCCAGGGGACTCGTGAGCATTTTCAGAATGGAAGTGGGGACTCATACCTGAGCGCTGTGCCTCCCCCAGAGCTGGGCTCCTTGGCAGGAGACCTGTCCCGGTTCCCCAGGCCTGGTGGAAACAGGCACCAGAGCAGCTCAAATGCCCAGGAGAAAGTAGGCACCAGGGAGGAGGTCTTCAGGCCTCTTCTCAGTGCCTACTTTAACAGTACCCACAGCGACTTCCAGTGAAAGCTGCTGGTGGTGGCCCCAAAAAGCCCCTCTTTCCCCAGTGCCCAGGGAGAACCTGGGATGTGAGGTGAGGGGCAGGGAAGCCTGCAACAAAGTCTCCCTTAACAAGCAGGAAGGTGAGGGTGGTGACCCCAACCAGACGTAAGCAGGACTGGCCCCCCCTCACCCAAGCGCTGGGTTTGACTGAGGTTGTATCGGCCACTTCCAGAGCCACCTCCCTTGCAAGCCCCGATCCCACTAATAAGCCGTTGACCTTGAGTCTTGAGTGTGGGGTTGATTTGCTGCTCTGTCTGGGGGAACCCAAGGGCCTTGTGACTTAACGGGAAGAAATCCTCCTCATTTTCGCAGCAATCGTTTTTCCTCTCCTCTAGCCACAGTGATCAAATTAGCAGGCTGCTTCTCCTCGGAGAAATGTGTCCACGGTCCCAGGAGGCAGTGCCCATTTGCCTGTCTGATGGGTTTGGGGAGGGAAAGCAGGGTGTACGTGTGCATGCATCCCTTCCTTCCCCTGTCCCCAGGAGGGTCTCTCCCACCTGGAATGGCTGCCCCGTAAGCAGCAAGGACCACAGAGAGGGCCAGTGCTGGAATCTCAGCTGCAGGACGTCTGGCAGGTGGCTGCGTACACACTGCTGCCCACCGTGCCCCCGCTGCTCAGGCTGCCGCTGGGACACTGAAGGGGCTTCATGCTGCTGTCCCTCTGGATGAGGAAATCAGCCGCCAGCGCTCCCAGCTCTGCCGAAACTCCATCTGGACCTTCCGTGGGAAAAAGAGGGCAGCAAAAGCCATCATGCAAACCTACTGCTCACAAAACAGCTCCGTTATTACATTAGTGGGGAAAGGAAAAATCCACTGCATTCTATTACGAGACACAAGTCAAGGCCTCCGGGCGCCTAAATTAATATCCCAATAAAATTGTTTATTGTTGTCTCCTATTTTCTGCCTTTCCTCAGGAGATAGATGGGTTTGATGACCTAATTGGTCTTTTCCATCTCTAAACTCTGTGATTCAGCTAAGTACCTTTTACAATCCATCACAGTATTATTTAATGGGAGAGAAAGCGAGGAGGGGGCTCTGCAGGGGGACAGGAGAGGAGAAGAGCGTCTGC